GCCCCCCACCCCCACCCGCCGGGCGCTCTCACACAAAAGTCCGATTCAATTGCGCGAGTTGTACGTACTCTACGCCCCGGGCGGGCCGCCCAGGCTTGCCGAGACGCTCCCCTGTTTACCCGTAATTTACTGCAAAACACGAGGTGGGCTTCGTACTCCCCCCCCCCCTCTGCAGCCCTCCACCCTCCCCGGGGGCCACGGACACAATGCACGGCGCTGGCCCCTTTCTCCCGCTCCCCATACCATCTCGATGTCCACCGCCCGCCCAAGGGAGACAGGGAACGATTGGCTCTTCAGCACCAGAATGTTGATAAAATTAAACATTTTGAACTTGGACGGTGGGGACTGGTGGCGAGACGAAGACCTCTGGTCTTTGAGAGTGACCCGACGGAGAGGATGGCGCGGTGAACGGGTGGCGTCAGAGAGGTGCCTCCCCAGCCATCCTTGGCTACGCCACTTCCCCACACTCACGCGCACACACGCTCCCACAGGGCCGACTTCATCTAGCGCGACAGGAATGCAGTCGTGCGACCGCGGGACGGGGTGGGCCGGTTGGGCCCCCTCGGGCGGCGGCGGGGGCAGCGTCTTTGGCCAGCTGATTTAGCTGGTGGTCCTCGCAGTTGCCACTGTCCGTCACTGCACCACCGCGTGCAGCATAGCCCGGGCGGCGGCAGCGCTGCCGTGCGGCCGCCGGCACCCTCCCGCCACCCACTGCACCCACCACCTCAACGCCTCAACCAGTGCGGTGCGGCCCTGGTAGGTGTTGGGGTATATTCTTCATATTCGCGCCAATCGTGTAGACTTTATCAGAAAAGGGTCGCCCTGCCTGCTACCCGACTAACCGCGACGGCCCGGCCGCCCCCGGTCTCTAAATGCCCCTGCATCACCGCCTCGCTCCTCCGAGTCGCTCTCCCACTCAGCGTCATCAAGGCACCCCCAACCCCTCCCCCAACCTCCGCACCGGCATTTTATTCCCTCCTTAAATTCTTTCTAGTTTTACGGTCGAGGATGGGCTGGCTCCTCCGCGCTAAGCAGGCAGCAGGCGACACCAAACTACCTCACATTCGGTTTAAGTGCTCTCCGAGGCCTCGTGGTTAGTCAAGTCGAGTCACTTCCGACGCCACCCTCCGCCGGCCGGCCGGCCGTCCGCTCGCGACCGGAGAGGCTCTTCCCAGACTCTGCATCGCTCATTGAGACAACTCTCACCCCCCTCGCCACCCGCTTCCTCCGCGACTGTCTTCACTTGACCGACACTCCTATTCTTCGTCTCTCACGCCGCCCATTCTTCTTTCCCTGACGTGAGAGCGATA